TCAAAACCTCAGAATTAGAGGAGTTCCAGAAACAGTTTACTTTAGTTTCTTCCGTGTCTTTTTTCTGAGACTTTTCTTTTCTATTTTTTTCACCATGAGTCTTGGTTATTACATGTTTTTTTTGGTTGTTCTAAATTATGTTATTGTTTACTTGATCTGCACTGTCATGCTACTATGTTTTTTTAAAGTACAATATCTTTACACGCTTTATCTTGTAATGTGAAAGGTTTGAACTCTGTGAGAAAGAGGTTGCTGGCCCTAAGTGAATTTAGAAACCCCCATGCGGATGTTATCCTGATTCAGGAAACACATTTCTGCAAAGGAAGCTCCTTTAATTTTGCACTGAAATATTTCCCTTCAATATACAGTATGTAGCTTCAGATTCAATGGGAAAAGTGGGAGTTGTCGTCCTTATTAGATGGACGTGCCCGCTCCGGGTCCACTCCTCCAAATTAGACCCCCATGGTCCCTTTGTATATCTTGACTGTCATTTCGGCAGAAAACCCTCTTACCATTCTCAACATGTACGCGCCGAATGCTGGCCAACTAGGTTTTCTACACTACGTAATCTCCCCCTTTCTACGTTCCTCACACCTGTTTATGATTGTAGGAGGAGACTTTACTTTGATCATGTCCCCTACCAAACATTAAATTCCCTTTGGGGCCACCTGCCTTCTAAACAGCTTTCAAAACTCTCTGGGTCATTTCGCCAGTGGGTCAGGGAGTTTAAATTGTTTGACTCTTGGAGAATAAGACACCCCATTTCTAAACAATACTCATTCTACTCATCGGTACACAGTGTTTATACCAGATTAGATCATCTGTTTGTCTCTTTACCACTACTTAAGTCCATAGGGGAAGCAGACATTAGTCCTATTACATGTCTGATCACTCCTCTATAGTGTTAGACTTGGCAATATTGAACTCCTTGCCACGCACATGTCACTGGAGACTTAATGACTTACTGTTGCGCGATGTGAATATTAAAACCGCTCTATCTGAAGCTCTTGGTGAGTTTTTCAACCTCAACACTGGTTCAGTAAAATCAGTTTCCACATTGTGGGTGGCCCATAAGGCCTTCATGAGAGGACACTGTATAGCAGCTAGTTCTTGCCTTAAACGAGACTCTGCAAGAGCCAGGGCTATACTGCAATGGCAACTCACTGGGTCGGAAACTGATCTTTTGCACTTTCCTACGACATGTAGATTGTGAAAAGCTGTCTTATTAAGAAATCAGCTTAGGGCTATGGACATCGATGGACAAAACAAAGGTTTTATGAGCTTTCTAACAAACCTAATAGACTACTGGTGAGTAAGTTATGAGCCAATTCTCCACAAAGTAACCCTGATTTTCTCTTTCAATCAGATGGTACCCCTACATATTGCCCGCACACCATGGCTAAAACTTTTGGCCTTTTTTATAGTAAATTATATAACTGTCTCTCTCCAGAACACCATCCACAATTCAATATAAAAGGTTTTGAAAACTTTATGTCTCATCTTCCCTTACCTAAATTTAAACATGGTGATCTTACCATTCTCAATAAGGATATTACCTATGAAGAGTTGGAAAACATAGTTAAGGACCTGCCTTTACATAAATGACCGGGTCCCGATTGGTTTACCTATTCTTATTATAAACACTTTCTTCCTAGCCTAACCCCCTCGTTGTTAACTCTTTATAAATGTTTTTCTTTATAGAGAGATCCCCCATTCCCAATTTCAAAACTCATACATCATTGTCTTCCCGAAGCCTGGGAAAAACCCTGCAGCACCAGCCAACTATAGACTCATCGCTATTCTCAACTCGAATTATAAAATCTTCATTAAATATTTACGAACAGATTAGCCTCTGTTCTGTCCAGACTTATCCACACGGACCAAGTTTATTTTGGCTAGACAGGCAAGGGATAATACGAGAAGGACGATAGACTTAGTCAATATAGTTATTAACACTAAAACACCAGCCTTACTCTTAAGTTTAGATGCCCAAAAGGCATTCAATAGATTGAGTTGGCCTTATATGTTAGCGCTCCTGGGCCGTCTTGGATTGTGTTGCTGTTCCTTAAAGCTTTCACCGCCGGGGGCGCATGCGCGACCAGGGATGATGGCGGTCGCATAGAGTCTGAGCTCCGCTCATCCCCGGCCAGCACGGAATCGCCCTCCACACGCCACTGCCTTCCTTCAGCTAGGGGTGAGTCATACATCCTCTGCACCCGGCACGGCACCAGGGAGAGACCTCTATGGGGAAGATAGGGCGCTGGAAGCCCGCCTCCCCGCAGCCACAGGATCCGCGGCCCTCACCACTCCGGCGGTTCTTATTTAGGCTGCAATCCCTGGCCTCTAGTATGTCCAGGAACCCAGGCAGCGATCCCGGACCCCCGGTGGTCACAGAGGGTACTGCACCCTCATGCATTACAGCTTCTCTGCCTGCCTCTGCCCTGATCCAGCCCCAGATGGAGGATCCTGACCCCCAGAATATAACTGGGGGGGGCAATAGACCACCCTGCCTCAGGGAATCAACACCCCTCTACCCAGATTTCCCAGCAGGCCGTCACGTCATCTTCTCTCACAATTTCAGCGCTAGATGATAAATTGCAAATATTCTTACGCAATATCACCGCATCCATATCCGCTGAAATTGGAAAACTGGCGTTGGATCTCAGAGGGGAAATAGCTCAGATTGGAGACCGCATGGATATATTGGAAAATGAGTTTGATGATTTGGTGCAATACGTTCATGTTCTGGAAGAGGACAACACGTATCTGAAGCATTCCATGTCCCAAATGCAGCTCCAACAAGAGGACTTGGAAAACAGGGAACGGCGCCAAAATATCCATATACGCGGTATGTCCGAATCTATTGTTGATGCACAACTACACCATCACCTATTGTCCTTTTTCACCACAACTGCTCCCTTGGTTCCAGAAGCAGATTGGCGTATGGACAGGGCTCACCGCTCTTTGGGCCCAAAACCTGTCGAAGGCACCAGACCACGCGATGTTATAGTTCCCTTCCATTTTTTTCAAAGCAAGGAAGCCTTATTATCAGCAGTTCACACAAGCCATCTTTGGAATTTAAAGGTGACAGACTCCAACTCTTCTGCGACTTGTCTCCGACTACCCTGGCCAAGCGGCGAGCTCTGCAGCCGATCACCACACACCTTCAGCAACACTGTGTCCTTTATCGGCGGGGGTTCCCCTTCAGGCTGATCGTAACTAGGGACAATACTCAAGTTGTGCTCCATGATCTTCATGAGGCGGATTCTTTTTTAAAGCACCTGGGACTTCCACCTTTGTCAGATGACGTGCCCCCACTGCCACCCACTCCATCCCGTCCATCAGCCACCCCCAACAAGATCTGGACTCCAGTCCGCAGAGGCCGGAAGAGGCTCTCACATACCCCACAACGTCCACGTCATCCTTGGTCAACTGATCCGCCTGTCTGATGATTCCCTGGGGTGACTCTCCGATGTGAATTCGGTGCCGATCCTTCCCTCCTGGTTTATACATGATTTTTCCACAGGTTTTTCATTTTTGGCCGGCTGAACCATTGTTGGGTGTTTTTTTTTTCACCTTTGTTTTTTCTGGCCGGGTTTGGCGATCTTCCTGATGTCTTGGTTGTCGTGATGCTCCCGATTTTGTCTAGCCATAGGCCTAGACGACTTGGGCCAAATTGTTGCTCCCCAAGTTTATATCCTTGCGGATACTTATGTTAACCACTGTGTTTGTTCTTGCTTGTGTTATTTTAATGTTTTTTGTTTTCCATTCTCTTACATCGATGGTATATTATTCTTTTTTCATGCTAATACATGTGCTTTTTCCATTATTATTTCATAATGGCTTTGAGGTTTCTGTCATATAACGTCAAGGGCCTCAATTCCATTCAAAAACGTTGGGTGGCTTTGAGGGAATTTCGATCCTCAGGAGCAGACATTATTTTTGTCCAGGAGACCCATTTCAAATCAACTGGCTCCTTTCGTTTTGCCTCGAGATTTTTTTCCCAAGCCTATTCAGCCTTTGATCCTTCCGGAAAGGCTGGGGTGGCAATTTTGATTAGGTCACACTGCTCCCTTCGGGTTGTTTTCCTCCAAAGTTGACCAACAGGGTCGCTTTATTATTTTGGAATGTATGCTTGGTGACACTCCCCTTGTTTTGTTGAATCTATACGCCCCAAATTCGGGTCAATTGCAATTTCTTTCACAAACACTCGCCAACTTAGATTCCATTTCCACTTCGCATGTGATTGTTGGGGGTGATTTTAATTTGTTTTTTTTTTCCCCCCATAAAGACAGGAAAGTTCTTTTCGAGTCCACACCCTCAAAGCGGCAAATGCTCCTCTTCAAAATCTTTCCATAGACTGATAAGGGAGCATCGTCTCTTTGACGCTTGGCGGTGGCGATTAAACACCCCCTCCATAAACAATTCACTTTCTACTCCACCCCTCACCGTAGCTTCTCCCCGCCTAGATCACTTTTTTATCTCTGCCCCACTGCTTCCTCTCCTGGTCTCCTCTGAAATCAACCCCATTACCTGGTCTGACCATGCCTCTCTGACTTTAAACCTTTTTTTTCCCTCCCATTATACCCAAACCATGTCATTGACGCCTTAATGAGACCTTTCTTTCCACAGAACATCTTAGGGATGAACTGTCACGGGGACTTGATACCTATTTTACCCACAATGTTGGCTCCGTAGCTTCTTCCTCAACTCTGTGGGAGGCCCATAAGGCGGTATTTCGAGGACTCTGTATTTCTATGGGTTCGGCGAGTGCTAGGGCTTCTCTTATTTATCAACTATCTTTGGCAGAACGACGGTTGTTGGCCAAGCCATCCATTTCTGGGCTACGGAAGGTAACATCTCTACGTGACCGAATTAAAACTCTTGACTCTAGTAAGTCTGCACAATCCCTCCTATGGGTTAAGCAGAAATTTTACAAATTTTCCAACAAACCTCATCGTATGTTAGTCAATCGACTCAAAGCTCAGTCTCCTTCCACGATGCCTGATCTTTAAATCCAACCGAATGGAAGCCCTACCTATGATCCTCAGGTCATGGCATCCCTTTTTGGCTCATACTATAAGAATCTTTATAACTGTTTGACCCCAGACCTTTACCCGCTCCTCACACAGTGTCAGGGCCGGGTATGACCAGAGGTGTGTGGACTGACACAGGGAAATGCTGGCTTCAGATATAGTATATAAACAATATAATTTATTTAAGACTAAACAATACATAAACGCAGTGCAAGACTAAACATAAACACAGTGCAAACAAACCAAAACCCCCAACAGATAACAAAAGAACAATACTACGCATAGTCGGGCAGGCCGGGTCGGTAGCAAACGGGCAGGCAAGGTACAAGGAGTAGTCAGACGGGCCGGGTCAGGAACAATCAGGCAGCAAGCCAGGTACCAAAGGAGCTGACTGGAGAGTGGTCAGGAATAGCAGAGGTCAGGACAGGCGGAGTTCAATCAGAGTCAGGGATCAAGCAGGATCAGACAGGAAGCAGACAGGATGCAGGTACAGGGGCTCTTGGGAAACATTACACCAAGGCCCTGATTGCAAGTCTGGCCATTCCTTATATGCACCTCCTGCAATCAGTCTCAGGTGTTTTGGGTTGACTGCAGGAGTGAGCCTTTGGTTGCTGAAAGCACCCGCTGGCCAGTCCTGGTACTGCAACCCGCAAGGCAGGTGAGTCCCACCACTATTGGCGAGTCCATTCCTGACACACAGTTGTCTTTTGATAATTTTTTTGACCCCCTGTCATTTCCGAGTCTATCACCTTCAGACATTGCCACCCTTAACGCTAACATTACGCCAGAGGAATTACTTGACACAATTAAACATCTTCCCTCTCGTAAAGCCCCGGGACCGGACGGATTGCCCTACTCCTACTATAAATCCTTTATTGATATCCTGGCCCCTCATCTCCTCTCCTTTTATCGAGATCTTTTCAAGGGGGTCACAACCCAGACTGAATTCTCCCGAGCATATATCTCGGTTATCCCCAAACCCGATAAAGATCACTCTATTGTAGACAACTACCGCCCCTTTGCCCTACTTAATTCCGATTACAAGATTTTCACTAAAATCTTGGCCAACCGACTGTCCAGAATTATTTCCAAACTCATACATAGGGGCCAAGTGGGCTTTGTACCTGCCAGACATGCTGCAGATAACACCAGGAGATATATTGATCTGGTTGACTTGGTTAACCGATCCTCCACCCCTGCTATATTATTAAGTTTGGATGCTCAGAAAGCTTTTGATCGTTTAAGTTGGCCTTACATGTTCATGGTCTTGGAAAGATTTGGTTTCAGGGGTCCATTTGTAGCAGCCTTGAAGGCCCTTTATTCTTCCCCCTTTTCGCAGGTCAGATTAGCCTCTTTTTTTTCACTCCCCTTTCAGATGTCAAATGGTACACGTCAGGGTTGCCCACTCTCTCTCCTTTACTGTTCATTCTTTGTCTGGAACCATTAGCCATCGCCATCACGTCAAATCTAGATATTCGCGGGATATGATCCCATACCCATGAGTACAAATTATCGCTGTTTGCTGATGACATCCTCCTCACACTTACGAGTCCCCATACCCTCCCTACCGATTTTACATAAGACCTTGAAACAATTTGGGGCCATATCTGGCTACAAAGTTAACACGTCTAAAACTGAGGCACTCCCAATACATGTCCCACCTGTCGTTTTATCCTCTCTTCAGGAAGCCTTTCCCTACCGGTGGTGGGCACCCACTCTTTAAAATATTTAGGTACTAATCTTACTTCCTCTTACCAATCCATATACGAGGCCAATTTCCCCCCATTATTTATAGCAATTTCTCGTTCTCTGAAACACTGGGATGCCCTGGCCATTACTTTTCTCGGACGCATTAATGTACTAAAAATGACCGTGTTACCCAAACTGTTATACCTGTTTGCGACCCTCCCTGTTCCCGTTCCTATGTCCAAACTTCACTCCCTCCAGAAATCTTTCCTGCATTTTATTTGGCACAAAAAGCGGCACAGGATTGCACGTTCTGTTTTGCTTTCTCCCGTTCTAGGGGGGCTTGGGGCACCGGATATAATAACATACTACTATGCAACTCACCTTCGTTTTCTCATGTCATGGTCTACTCACTATCCTCCCAACACATGGGCTGAGATCGAATCTTTACAACTGTCTCCAGCTCATCCATGCTCCCTCCTTTGGTCGACCTCAGCAGTGGATGTCTCTTCTTTTCGCCACCTATTCCTTGGTCCCATGCACTTTTCTCTGACTGTTTGGCAGAAATGTACAGCTAAATTTACACTGGTCTCTGATTGCTCCCCACTGACAAATATCCTCTATAACCCTAATCTTCCAGACAATATGGCCATGTCCCGGATGTCTCTTTGGGTAGTAGCTAACCTTTTTCAATTGCGTCACTTGGTACACCCGGTCACTCGTAAGTTAAACTCATTCCCAGATCTCCAGAAAAAAGCTCTTCTACCTTCTCAACACCTATATATTTACCTTCAAATCTGCCACTTCTTTTCCACCTTATCACCCTCATTAACCCTGGGGAAGCCTACTCCCTTCGAACGTTTATGCATGCAGGGTCCCCACCAAAGGGGTATTATTTCTAATACTTATAAACTTCTTTTGGATGCCCCCTCCTTATCCAATGACACTCACCTTTACATGTGTAGGTGGTCTCAATTCGTACAATGTGATATTGACCTATTAACGTGGAAGAAAATTTGGGAAAATGCATCTAGATCTTCTGTTTGTGTGGTTTTTAAGGAAAATATATACAAGATCATGATGTTATGGTACAAAACGCCTGAAGTTCTTCATGCTTATAATGCTTCTCCTGCCTGCTGGTGCTGTGGTGGAGACCTGGGTTCTCTCTATCATATCTTTTGGACATGCAGCTCCTTTTTGGGAAGATGTTCTCTCCCTGTTACAATCACTAATGCGTACCTCTCTCCCACTTGATATACTACATTTTTTGCTAGGTCTACCATTTCCGGGTCTACCTAAACCATCCGGAAAACTTGCTGTTCATGTTCTGACCGCGGCTAGGAGAAGCATTCCTATGTGTTGGTTGTCTTCTACTCCTCCTTCAATGTCGATTCTGTACAAACTTATTGCTGATGTTAGACAGATGGAATACTTGACTGCACTACATAATTGTTCGTTTGCTGTGTTTGAGATGATTTGGCTCCCATGGGATACCTTCATTTCCTCTATGCCGGCCCAAAATGTAAGGTCCTGATAACCTTCACACTGTTATTTTATGTTTTTGTTGGTCCTGTCCTTACGCAGTTTTGCCATCGATGTACCTTTCTGTTTTGCTTGTTTTCTTTTCATATCCTTTTTTTTAAACATACTGTTTGTATATTCATGAAAATCAATAAAAAATTGTTAATTTAAAAAAAAAAAAAAAGCTTTCACCGCCCTATATTCTTCGCCCACGACACAGGTTAAATTTCCATGTGCCACATCTGATTCCTTACAAATGGACCAGACAGGGGTGTCCCTTACCCCCCCTCCTTTTTGTTTTATGTCTAGAACCTTTGGCAGCAGCAATCTGGTTACACCCTGATATTAGGGGGGTCAAGGTCAGGCAAAAAGAATTTAAACTATCCTTGTTTGCTGATGACATCTTATTGACTGATCGTCATACTTCCCTTCCCCCTACACAAATTACTTCAAGATTTTAGTGACCTGTCAGACTATAAAATTAATACTTCCAAAACCGAAACCTTCCCTTTCAAAGTTCCTCCCGATCACCTTGCTCTTCTTCAACATAATAACCACTCTCATTGGTGTTCTAATTCCTTAAAATACCTTGGCATCCATATTACGCCAACATATTCATCCCTATATCATTCCAATTTTGTGCCTTTGTTTAGAGATATATGGAAACCATTGACAAAATGGGACAGCTACTGTATACTATCTCTTTCCTAGGTAGAATAAATGTGTTGAAGATGTCCATATTGCCAATGTTATTATATCTATTTGAAACACTTTCAGTCTATGTAATGGTACAACTCCGATCTGTACAGAATGCTTTCCTCAATTTTATATGGCATAATAAGGCTCATAGAATTTCTCGCTCTGTTCTACTTGCCCCTTGTTTCCGGGAGGGTTAGGGCGCCTGACCTACTTAAATACTATTGGGCTACTCATTTATGGCTTAAATTGTCATGGTCAGTTAGATCACCTAGTAATAGGTGGTCTGAAATTGAGATAACATATACACCCATCATCTCTTGTCTGGTTCTCACATACTAAGCCTAAATCATCTTTACACGTCCCCCTTCTAAATGCCATGTTATTCATGGTAAAAATCTGGCGAACCTGTAATAAAAAATTAGATTTATCTCCTTTGTGCTCCCATCTGACTAATGTATTATACATCCTGCATTACCTGATAGCTTAATCTACTCTCAAATGCTCCTGTGGGCCCAAGCTCGTGTGTTTCAGATATGCCATTTACTCAATCCTGTGACCCAGAAGCTTCTTTCCTTTGAAGAACTTCTTCTCCTTTTGCTGGAGATGCAAAGGTGAAAGGGGAACTGTTGCTCATATTTTCTGAATTAAAGAATTTTGGTCCTCAGTGCAGAATGTTCTAGAGTTAGTCCTGGAGGTTCCTCTACCATTAGATCCTTTACATTACCTCCTAGGGTTACCTTTTTATGGAATCCCTAAACATTCTAAAAAACGTAGTATATATATATATATATATATATATATATATATATATATATATATATATATATTAACAGCTGCTAGAAGACTAATTTCTCATTACAGGAATTCCAATGAGATTCCTACACAAAATCGTTTGATCTCGGCGGTAGACTTATGGAGCATCTCACTGCTATTGCATGTGATAATACTGCTACATTTTCTACAATATGGTATGTTTGGGATGCTTCAATTTTTGAAACTCCTAAAAGTGCTACACATTCCCCACACAAACCTTAGCTATTTTTTTTTGTGTGTATTGGAGTGCAGGTTGTTTTTTCCTTCTTCTTCTTCTTCTTCTCTCTCTCCTCTTCTTATTTTTTCTGGTTTTCTTTTTCATTCCGATTTTATCACTGAGATATAGCTCATCTTCTTTATTAGATGTAAATTTTGCAATTTATTGTGTTGTACTGATAATGGAGTAGGATATGTCTATGTTTGATGTTAGATGTATGGTATATACTGTGTTTTCATGATTTCTCAACCCTTTTTTGCTTCTGTTTGGATACTATTGGGTTCTGGTTGCTGATTTTCTTCATTTTATCTGTATCTGATAATTTTCAATAAAAATGACAATAATATAAAAAGATGTGCATGCAAAAAAGAAGATCCATAATGCAATAATTTGAAGAGCTCAGAAACAGCCACAGGCCACAGGCACTTTGTTCTGACGATCAAGATGAATTTTGTAATTTTTCTGTCAAAACTTGCTCTCTCTCCTCAAGGAAATACCTGGTAATAGGCTGTTACAGTCGTAGGCTACAATGGTGGGACAGCGCGGGCATTTATGGATAGGCCCTGGTGGGCGAGGTAGCTTCAGAAACTGGTGGCTTCAGAACCAATTATGGTCTGTGTACTCTGTTCATTGGTACAGATGGAACTCTGATTGACCCTACCTGATCATTCTAATGCAATTATTGTGCCACTACATTGAAGAATCCTTGTCCTTTATGGCTCACTGTCCATATATATAGGGATCCTCTTATACACCATACTAGTTGACTATCAATGGTTTCTGTACTTATCTTGCTTGGACCAGAACTGGAGATGTGACTATACCTCTATATTATACCAATACACCGCTGATTTCTTTCAAATGTGCCCTAATTTGTCTTGAATTGGTAATACCAACCAAATCAGTACCTTCACTTGTAGGAAGGAAGCCTTTTGAAGGGGCTGTCGCTTGTCCGTTTGATTTACTGGGATCTCCCTATTGACTGGCCCTGGTTGGGAGGGCCTTAGATTCTCCTCCTTAACCCCCACTCTGATGCCTATGGATCAAGAAATCTAACTCCTGAAGAAGCGATATCATCACAAAACATGTCGAGTCACTACAGCTATTGATATCAGAATATCTGTTTTCAAACCCTTACTGGGTTACGGTATATTTTTAGTGTGGCATGTATCAATATTATATGTACCTAAATGACTTGTAACTGCACTGAGTGTACAATTCCATTGGGGAGTACACTCTCTGCAGAGGATTTTCATAATTGTTGTATGTCTTTGTATGTTCAATAAAGCAATAATTTTAATTAATACTGTTGTAGTGCCCATAAAGTCCACTCAATGGCCCTCTTTCTTTCTATCACCTATTCATTGTTTACAGCAATCCTCACAAAATCCCTTCTACCCACCACTGTATTCCATTTATGAAAATCTGCAATATAAAATATGTTAGCAGTTAAAGGGTTACTTCAGCATTTCAGAAAAAATAAAAAGGTGAAATAACACCGTACACCATCCCACCTCCCTACTTACTTCCATGAGCCATGAGCTGTTTGTGCCCATGCAGCTGATGTAGTGGTTGGGGTATTTGAAATCTGCACTCTTCATCTCCTTTTTTCTGTAGCGCTAACAAGACAGGTCAAAGTGATTCTAATCAAATCAGTTATGTGCCGCTGCTGACAAATCGGAATTTTTCTGGTCTATCCTGAAAGCCCTACGAAGTGAAGATGAAGAGCGGGGATTTAAAATCCCAGACTGTTACATCGGCTGCATGGGTAGTGACAGTTCATTATCCACGGAGGTAAGTACAGCAGGTGATGGGGAGGGTGAACATTGTTAGTTCACCTTTTAATTTTTTTCTGAAAAGGTGAACTTACATTTTAAAATTGAACCATGGAAATGTTGGTTAAATGCTAGAAATATATATACTGTTTTAAATTTTTTTTTGTGTTTTTAACCACTTCCTGACCATGCTATAACCAAAAAATGGCTACAGCATAGCCCTCCAATTCTGGGAGGGCGTCCATGGAGGTCCTCCCAGAACCCTGTCTTCCACGCACACACCCCAAGGCACACATTAGGTGTGCTCTGTGACCTCTATGTCCTTTGGACATAGCTGATCACAGATTGCGGTAAAGCGCCAATCACAGTGACCCTTTACAATGTGATCAGCTGTGTCCAATCACAGCTGATCATATGTAAGTAGACTTGATAGTTATCAGCAGTGCTTTCCTCACGCTGGGTATGTGTGAGAAAAGAAGAGCCAATAACCGACAGCACTGTCAGTACACTGTTTACACTAATAGTTAGGGCACGAATCATCAGTGCCCTGATGATCAGTGCAGCCTCATCAGTGACAATTAGTGCCCATCAGTGCAGCTTATCAGTGCAACTTACCAGTGCCCATCAGTGTGGCTTATCAGTGCCCATCAGTACAGCCTCCTCAGTGCCTCCTCAGTGTGGCTTAACAGTGCCCATCAGTGCAGCTTCATCAGCACACATCAGTAAATAAGAAAAATGTCTTATTTGCAAAGTTTTATAACAGAAACAAAGTAACGTATTTTTATAATTTTTGGTCTTTTTGCATTTGTTTAGCTAAAAAAAACCCAGTGGTGAGTAAATACCACCAAAAGAAAGCTCTATCTGTCTAAAAACAATTATAAAAATTTAATTTGGATACAGTGTTGACAGCGCAGTTGTCATTCAAAGTGTGACAGCGCTGAAAGCTTACAATTGGCTTGGGCAGGAAGGGGGTGAAAGTACCTGGTATTGAAGTGGTTACTGATTGGTGCAGTCTTTTGCCTCTATGCAGGAGCTTCCGGTAAACAACATTGTTGGAAATAATACACACAATAAAAAGTTCTGTTTAAAAGAAAACAAAAAAACTTTATATACATTTTTTACATTCTGTAACAGAGGAGGGCAAACAAGGGCTCACAGGATCTACAAAGTGCAGATATCTTTATTAAAATAGTATACATAAAAACATATAGTAAGTATTACACTCACAAGCGTGGATACATGTAAGAAAGCTCAGCCTCAGAGTCCTGTGATGTGTCCAGTGTAAATCCTGTGCAGCCACCGCTGTGAGTAGGAAGATGGATTGCACTGCCGACACTCTGGAAATGCTGGTGTAAGGATTAGGCACCACGGCTGTGCGATATAGCAGGCCACTCTCACTCCTGTCACCTTGCAAGTTACCCTGGGAACGCAATTTCAAAGAAATTTACCGAATTGTCAACAGCCCTTCCGGGATTATTTAAAGCATCTGAAATATTTATTATGTCCTGA